GATATAGCAAACAAAAGCAATCACTTAAAAAGGGATTTAATTTTAATTTTTTTTTTTTGGAAAAAGAGTTAATTAGCTCATCATCAAAATTTTATTCATAATTGCTGTTATTTATGCTATAAAAGGCAAAATCCTTATCAAATAAAAAACAATTATCTAAACAGTTGCTGATTGTCATGTAATTTTTCAAACTAAAATAGCAATTTTTGTATGTTAACGAGTTACTATATATTTCTACTTCACTGTTATTGATATGTTTCAAAGGGCTCTAGTTAGATTAGACTATAATATGAACATAATGATTCGGTTCATTGTTAATTTTTTTTTTCTCCAATATAATTTAAAACGTAATGTTACTGATATATTTGCTATAAATCACATAACAGTATTTATTAAAAGATTTCTCAGTAGTTTTAATTTGCTAAACCAGGTAGTTTTTCGAGTAATAATTGTCTCTTATGTGAACTGAGGAAAAATATAATTTCCAGCTTTATTTTGCACTGACTTATTATTTGAAAATTATTTTGCAAAATCTTTGAACTAACTATCATTATTCATAGTTATAAATACAAAAGTACAATAAACATTAAAAATTGTTTTAAATCTAAGTTCATTTTATGTCATTCGTAAGTAGAAAATATTACAGTCTATAGTGTAATGCATTAAGTCATTTGTGTCAAAAATAAATAGTTAATTATAAAAATTTTTTTTATTTCTTACCCATTTAACAGCTATGGTCAAAGATTGAATGTTCTATAAATAAAATTCCATAAGGAGGCAATCAAAATCTACGAAAAAAATTTTCCCTAATAGTTTTATTTTATTTGTGAATGGTATTTTAGGTAAAAATACACAGTATTTGTCTATCTGCAAGTTTTAGTGAAATTATAAGATGTCACATATTATTCATTAATCAAAAATATACGATACACAATACAGATAATTTTCTATCTCACTATTGTACTAACCAGGCTTTAATACCTCCATATAATAATTAGTACTATTTAGTTTCTGAGAGCATAATTTTTTTTTCATAACCTGAGTACTTATTTGGAGATGCAAAATAAACTCACACGAATGATAATTAACCAAAAAGTTAAATAAAAACATAAATAAATCATAAAGGTTCTGTTGTCGCACATCAGATTAGAGTTCAGATCTCGCATCAGACTTTTTGAACATTTTCTTGTGTGTAAAAATACTTGTAAAACTTTTGTTAAAATTTGTAATTCAGCATGAACATCAAATGTGATGTTTGAGGCATTTTCTCCTTATTGTAAGAAATTTTCATATTCATCATTAGCATCTGGAGTTACTATTTTTCTTCTTAAAAAAAACTAGCTTCAATACTTTTGGAACATGTCAGTAGAATTTCTGAACAATAGCAGAGATGCCAACTTTGTAAAAAAATATTTTCTAGTGTTAATGTAATGTAAGTTATTTTTGGTTTAGTATTTTTCTTTTTAAGTAATTTTTACACCATTACATATCATGAATTCAAAATATCATATGTAAAACAATCTCTTGATGACATTTTTAAAAAGTAGGGATAATTATCCTAATTCTACAAGTTTTACAACTCAATTCACTACAAATTTATAAAAACTTTTTAAGAAAGCGGAGCAGTTTGGCATTCTTGCAATAGTCGTGGAGATCAGCTAGTTTAAAAAATAACTACATGGAGTATTATTAACATTATAAGAATAGCATTTGTGACAGGAACAAAAAAAAAATGCCAATACCCTCCAGGAAATGAAAGATGCAGAAGTGGTTGATCAAGGTTTAACTGTAAAAATTTATCAAAGGGTAGAATATAATAATACAGTAGGTACTATAGCAATTTTGCTAAATCATATTTATAATAAATTTTAAGACTGTGAAAATCAATAAAAAATTTGAAGGTTTTTCACATTGAAATGTATTTTTGAATTGAAATGTATTTTGAAATGTAGATTTTTAAATTAATAAAGATTTTTTTAATCAGCTGATTTAAATCAAACTGATTGCAATCAAGATTACTTAAAATTATGATCACTTGTTATCATACATTTTGACTACATCTAATCATTACTTCTATAATTGTAGAATAATTACTTTTAAAAAAAATAAAAATAGGAAAGATATAAGATATTGCATCTCATACCTTATTTCAAACATTAAAAAATTACCAATTTATACATTTACCTTTTAATAAAAATATAACATTTTCAATTAGTTGACAAAGAAACAAAACCTTTTTTTTTATGTGATGGGTAAGTTATATAAATTTTTTTTTATGGAACAGACACTCTTATTACATGATACAAATCAGAGATATTGGAAGTTTTAAAACTGAATGGTTGCTAGACATTGTGTGATCTTAAAAATTATTTTTCCATTACACTTTTAAGAAAAAGAATGACTTAAATACAATTTTATTTTTATTTCACTTATAAGGACAAACTTCTTTTCTCTCTATTCTTTAACTATTCAACTTTTTCTATTCTTTAACTTTTATAACATCATTTTATATATTATGTACAGAACATTAGTAGTCTTAAGAAGTGACTATAAATTTTAGAATCTGTCACCCTTCAACAGAACCCAAGCATTCTTTGGAACACCTTTTCGAAACCTCAGTCTGAAAATGTACACATCTATGAGATGCTATACTACTTTTAATAGAAAAGCTCTTATTACAAAAATTACATGCATACGGTTTTATTTTAGAATGATGGAAACTGTGTTGAAATAAATGTTGTTTTTGTGAAAAACTCTTGCTACATAAATCACAGGAGTAAGGTTTTTCTGAAGTATGAACATAACTGTGAGCTTTTAAATTACCTCTTTGCGAAAAACTCTTATTACATATTCTACAAGAATAAGGTTTTTCTTTGGTATGAACACGATTGTGAATAATCAAAGAATCCCTTTTCGTGAAGCTCGCATTGCAAATACTACAAGAATAAGGTTTCTCTCCTGTGTGACCAAGGCAATGGGAGGTGAGGTGACACTTCTGTGAAAAACTTTTCCCACATAAATCACAAATATAAGGATTTTCATTTTCATGGTGACGAATGTGATTATTTAAATATCCTTTATGTGAAAATCTTTTTTTACATAGGTTGCAAGAAAAAGGTTTTACTTTAAAATGCTGGTATTTATGCTGATTTAAAAGCTCTTCTTCTGTAAACTCTTTGTTGCATATGTCACAAATGTGTAGTTTTTCAATAGCCCCAACAAGACTATATTCATCATTTATCTCCATTGCAAAGATGTTAGGAAATTAAAAGTGTTAATAATGTAGATGAAACAAATTCAAAATCAATCTAAAGTTATTGGCAGAATATAAAATTTGCTCTTTTTAGCACAAATTAAATGGTTCATTATTTGTAGCAGTTTAGTTTATTCAGCTAAGTCAAGACAATGAGTTTATAAAAATATAGTAACCCTTCACATAAAGTTTACAAATATAAATTTTCAAATAAAGTATAGGTCTAATTGTTTTGTTAATAGACCTCACCCTTTATTAACTTTTAATGTTGGTATTTCACAATTTCATGAGCATAAACTATAAAAATAGTTTCGTCTGATTTCCAGAGGTCAAAAGAAACGGAAAAAAATATTTATATACAGCGATAACTTACAACAATAGAGAAATCGACAAGGATACTTAGCAATTAAATTTATACAACAAATCGGTGATTTAATTAACAATGTTTTTATTCACAGAAAGACGAAGAATATTCTCGTTTAACTATTTTTCCAAATATTCTTTGTATTTAATAAACTACAACTTAAAATTCATAAATTGCATTATTTATATTTCAAATTTTTGGCTTCGAATAAGTACCTACAACAAATTTCGACGGCCACTCCGCAAACTTTCTGTTTTGTTTTCAACTGAAAAATGACCCGGACATGAAAGTTTATTAGTTTTGAGGGAACAATTTACAGCTTTCAGCTCACTTTTTCAAGAAACTGAATTAGGCAACCTTATATGTTCGTGACCATGACACTCAAGTACGCCATCTAGGGAAAAAACCGGTTCCATGTTTTTTTTCCTCTCATCCTGTTCTTATTTGTATTAGAATGCACTACGATATTTTCAGTTTTCTGACTATTTTTCTAATTTAATTGTCGCAAATATTTTTTTGAAAATTCCCGTGATACTTTCTTTGAGCTTAGCATGAGTGATTTGGGGCCTTTTGCTGAGTTAATTATAAAATTTAGCCTTTTACAATGGTCACTAGATAGCTCTAAAATATGCCTTAGGACTGATCAACAGCAAAAGTTTGTCAATGTGACGTGTCATTATCTGCATCCTTCGTGATGGTTTCTTACAGGTACAAGCAGACGCGCCATCTGTCGGTATTTGCAGAACCACTCGAAATAATACACATCAACTTGCCCAATCCCTTGTCGCCACATTAACCGGCAACGTGCGAACAATCTGTATGTTGTTATATTCGTAAATATCATTTAAATCGTCTCTGAAATTTATTCAGCTTTGTTGGTAAATATTAAGTTTTTGGCATTTTTCAATCATTATTTTATGTATTTCAAAAACTTTTATTATTGTATTTAAAATGTAGATTTTAACAGTTTGACATATTCTACAAAGCTGCAGAATTTCATTTTCTGCTTGCTTATTAGCTTTGAAGAATCGAAATGTTTTTTTCTTGTATAAAAAAAAAAAGTTTTAAAATGTTACGATTTGAAATTTTGTTCATTCATGTGTGACACGTTTCACCTGAAGAACTTTTTAAGACTGAATAGTGGTGCTGACTTTTCATATAAATTAGTTACTGACATTAGCTTGTCTTGAAATAAATTTGACTTTATTTTTTCACCTATTTTTGTTTTTTCTTGTATTTATTTACTCTATCCATCTACAATATTTTCTGTTACTATTTTCCGTAATTTTTTCTTATATTTAGTAAAATTTATATGATGCTTTTTATGCTTTAACAGATGTTAACAGTGTCTATCGTTAGTTAACAATTTATATACTGAATGCAGATAGACAAGCTGCTTTATTATATTTAAAAGTAGTTTCATCTTTACTGCTCAAGATAAATAATTGGCAAATATATTAAATGTGTAATTTTGTCGTTTTTGTTATACATTGAAACAATTAGTGCCTTTGTATTAGGTCAAGGTATTAAGAATATTTTAAACAGTACATAGCATGTAGTATTTAATATCGTATATTAAATGCTATCTTTTTATGCAATTAAAAATATGTTGTGAGAAAATTCCTTGATTAATAAATGCCATTCATTTCATAAATATACTTTAGCATAATAATAGTTCTGCTGAAAGCCCCATAAGTTGCTGATTAGGAATTTTTACAGTTATGTGACACTAACAAATAAAAAAAACTGAAATTATGTATAACAACAAAACTAAATATTTCCATTTTAATACTCTGAAAATTAAAATATAGTTTCATGCATTCAACAAATTACTTCGAAAAAAGATTGCCCATAGTTAATAGTTGAATAGCTTAAAACAAAACTCAAAATGTATTATAAAGTGGATTTTTTTTCTTCTCAAAATTATACTTAATGTAATTTTTATTAATTTCATATTAGTACTTACATTTTAACATTTATTTTAAAAATATGTTATCAGGGGCAACCGGGGTAATTTACGATCACTCTGTTTCTGGGGTAAATAATGATCACCTAAGTTTTATTTAAAAAAAAAAAAAAATTTTTAAATTTGACACATGGACAAGAATGCTTGTACTCTTTACTAATGTATAACTACATTTACTTAATACCTAATAGTTTTTTGTTTAATCTAACAAAATAAGTATTACTAAATCTAAGTAATTTAAAATTACCTGTCTTTTAAATACTTTTCAAAAAATACATCTTTAAATGTTCATTTTATTATTATTTTCTGTTTTAATTATAGAAAAACTTTTAAGTTTATCAATCTTTTATTTATGTTCGAAAAAAAATCTGTTCAGTGATTGTGTTTTAGCAGATTTTTAATTATTGTTTATTAACTCAAATTTTTCTCTTATTTTGATAAAAAGTGAGAATTACTTTTTAAATTACAGGCTTAAAATAGTATAAGAGAGAAATTTTACTGATTGTTGAGGATAAAATTTAGTTATTACAATATTATGTTTTTGGTAAATTTTTACAATGTTAATTCAGTGCCTTTTTAAAATTCAAATTGCCTTATTTTGCGAGGAAGCACCTTGTCCTTTTTTATTTCTTAGTGAGAACTCTGCTTTATGTATAGAGTTAGTCTCTTCTGCCATAGAGTTTTTGTCAGTTTTTCAGCTAAGCAAAATATTTAGAAGACATTATTGAGGGTGTCAGAATCTTTATTTTAAGTTGTCATAATTCGGCTACCGAATACTGTTACTTTCTGTTTTAAATATTTATTCAAATTTCAATTATTTTAATTGGGATTCAATGGAATAGTTTTTCTCTCAACTGGGAAGTTGTTAATTGACTATGTTTTTTATTTTAGGCAAAAATGAAGTTATCTTATATTTTTTTCTTTACCTTCATTCATATCTTCAGCAACAATGGTAAGTGTTTCATTCTTTAATTGTCTAATCAAATTTTTTTTTAATTTTTCCTTTCCAATGTGCTAATTACTTTAATATTTCAATGTTGTAGGATTATAAATATTTTATTTTGCTTACTAGCCAATTTTTTTATATATTCAGTTGGTAAACTAAATTTGATCTTCAGAGTATATTGAATATTAAGCAAGAATGTAGCAAATGGCGACTTGGTCGGATACCGAATATTCAACAGCTGAATGGCAACATTTATTTTTAAAAAATTAATTAATAAATTTTTTTTTAACAAATATAAGTTTGGTCATTATTGAAAAATAATCAACACTTAGCTGTTTATTGGTATGTGGTAATGGGAAAAACACTTTGTTAAAATTTTTTAAGATAATTAGAAATATTTCAGTTAAAGGGAAAAAACTTTGATAAAAATGTTTAAGATAATTAAAAATATTTATGATTTAAATTAAATATCATTCTAATCCTTAAAACAAAACTTCAATACTAAAAATATTTTCTGGAAAAAAATTATCCATAAAAGGCTAAAAGAGAAAATGAACGCTTTTAAAAATAGAAATGCTTTTAAAAATGCAGCCATAACTATAAAAAGATTATATACAAAGGCAAAAGAGAAGTATAAAAATCCATCTTGTTTAATTTTAAATTTTCTTTCAAAAACTATCTGTTTCCTGCAAGAAAAATTGAGGAAGAAAAACTAGAAGAAACCAATTTTAAATGAAAGATTAAAAATCACAATCTAACTTTTTATATATCAAATTTCTAACAATCTCAATTTAACTTTTTAGCTAATTTAACTTTTTAAAAAATGCTGCAATAATAAAAGCCCTGGTAAAGGGAAAGTTAATAAAGAAATACAGAAAAAAAGACTTTGATAATTAAAGTTTACAAAGTTAACTGTTACTTGTACTACCATACAGGAAAAAAAGTGATAATAAAAGAATTAAGTCTGTTAGAAATGCTCTATCAAAATGCTGCATTATAGTTAATACGGAAAAACAAGCAAAATATAAAACAAGTAATAAAACGAAAGTTCTCAATTTTTAAGATATAAAGTGTTGAAAAAATGACTTGCCTTAATATAGTTTTAAGGAAATCAGCACTGTGAAACTCATGGTTCAGTATAAAGTAACCTAGTTTCCATTCTTCAGATTTGGCTGGTCCATTTGGCTTTCAGATCATAAATTAACTAGTTTTAGAACTTAACAAATTTGTGTAAAAACTATTTCTAATAATGTATAGTAAAAAATATGATTTTACAGTCTATTCAAATTTCTCTCCAAAAAATACTTTGCCGAATGTTTGGCCAACCGAATATTCGGCAAAAGGGCTAAATATTCATAACATCCCTAATATTAGGCAGGATTAATTATATATCTATATACATATGTGTGTATAATATGCAATTTGAGTTACAAATAATAATGAAAATGGAAAGGAAAAAGTATACACTTTAAAATTCCAAGTTGCGACAGCACCAAGCTGCTAATGTCACAACTAGAAGAATATTTGCAGAAAATATTTTAAGATGAAATAGAATAAGTTATTATCTCATAAGAGAATTAGGATCAAAACAGCAGGAGAAAACCTAAAACCATTAACCTGAAATAAAACTCACCTTGCGAAAAACACTAAAGGAAATAGCAACCTAACTACCAAAAGGGAAAAATATTAAAAATTAATTAAAGTGGATGCAGTAAAAATTAAGTGGCTTTCCTTGAAATGTATATATATATATTTTCCTACATGAATAAGTAATTTTTATAATTGTCATTTTATAAATACTTAGATACCAGTAAAGCATTAGATATTCATACCTCCCCCCACCCATAAAGGGTGTACGAAGACGGATAAAAAGAATGATCTTCCAACTTATAAATTTCACATCATATTCAATTTTTTAAAAAATTCATTTTATTTTAAGATTTATTATTTTGTAAAATGATATTTAGAAATAAGAAAAGAAGAACGCTTATTAGAAAAACCATTCAAGAATGGATGTGGCAAAAATGAAAAAATAAATAAATAAATGAAAGTTAAATCACTTTTCCTGTTACATTACTTGTATAATTCACTTATTAGTGCATTTATCTTATCGCACTTATCTATTAAATGAGCGAGTTTATTTTAAAAAATTGCAATTTTTAAAAAAAAATATGTCTTTATAGAAAATAAATTATTTCTCAAGCACATGATATTCAGCTAAAATGAATGCTTTTTAAAACAGTTCTAATAACTAATTTTTTTCACTGTAATATGAGTAAAGATCTGTTTTGCGCCATGCCTACTTATATTAACGATGTTCAATACTTGCAGTACATGGATTAGCTGTGATGTCTGTAGATATTGGTAGTGAATGGATGAAAGTTGCTATTGTATCAGTAAGTGTCTTCATTCTTGTTACATTTGAATTGGTTGTTGCTATATTTCTAAGCTATTTCAGTAAATTATTATACTGTTAAACCTCTGTCTTGAACTTAGATAACCTAAGTTTTTTGGTATAAAAAAAAATCCGTTTTTGCTATGTTGCTAATTGAAAATTTGCAATAATTTGATTTGATCCAATTTCTTTTTACACTGATTTGAAGAATTTAGTGTTTTTTTTTTTTTTTAAATTTTAATTCTCAACTTTTCTTGAACAATTTTATGAATCATTTCTTGAAGCCCTTATGTGAAAAAGATTACCAGTTTTTAAAAAATATGTGCTATCGATTCTTGAAGAAGGAAAGATATAGGTAAGCGTAAAAATATCTGCTCAGGAAGCAGTTTAGGGAAAAGTAGTAGTGTTTGGGAATAATCAGAAATATTAAGAGTGCAAAGAAATTGATATTTGAAGTAAATGTTTTTTAAAGTAAATGGATGTTCTAAATATTCAGTTAAAATATTTCAATCTCACAAAGTATTTGATTCCCTTCAAGCTCTTCGCATCAAGTATACCTGAAAATTTAAATTTTCAGCTAGCAGTCAGCAAAAATATACTCCAATTGCTGATATGCTCCAATAACTTAGTAATCGCTTTTTTCTCAGTAACATCGATAGGTCTTTTTCTTTTAATAGCTGTTTTTTGCAAACTTTGTTAAATTGTATTTTTTTTAAAAAATTCATATCAGTATATTCATGTATTTTTTTTTGAAAAAATTCATTGTGGCTAAATTTACTTTAATATATTGACTCTATAAACTTTATTTAGAAATATTTGGTGAAGCGAAATACATTTAATGTATACATTACAGCTTTGAAATATATGAATTGTTAAAGGACTCTTCGTCTGCATGAATCTTTCTATCACCAATTGATGGATTAAGATTTAATTAAATACCTATTTTTCTATCATTTTGGTTACTTTTGTCCACAGCCATCATTTTGATATTCAGTGTAAAATGATTGTATTATGAAAATAATTTTAATTAGTTTTGTTTAATTTATTTTAGCCTGGTGTACCTATGGAGATTGCATTGAATAGGTATATTTTTTCTGTTTTTTTATTCTGCGTGCTTGACAATTTTGTTTTTGTATGAAACTAATGTCATACCATTTACAGGGAATCTCAAAGGAAGACACCAGTCATTGTATCTTTTCGTGATGGCGAAAGAGTATTTGGAGATCCTGCACTCACTATTGTAAGTCAATTATTATGAATGATAAAAATGAATGAAGAAAGCCACCTTTATGCAGGATTGATTTCAATTAACTTAAAAGTACATTTTTAAAATCAAATGTACCTTTCAATGTCATTAAATTAAAAAAAATTTAAGCATTTTAATGAAATTTCTTATAGATTTTCATAGTTTTAAAATTTTATAAATATATTATTGTGTTGATATAAATCCAATTAGCAAAGTACATTAACTTATTGTGAAATAAATTGCAGCACTTTTGAAGTGATGTTTTAAAAATATTGTAAATTTTATCAGAAGCAAACTGAGAACAGTAAAAATATATTCAGTTATCAAATCTGGATTTTTTAAATTTAACAGAAGAAAAGATATGTCTATGAGAATAATTTTGTGATTTGTTTCTTTAGCCTGTTTTTCATCTAGGTCCATGGCAATGACTGCAGAATTGAATTTACATATTATATTATTATAAAGAAAATACATTCATGAATGGAAATTCAAAAAATCAAAATACCAATCTAAAATTTAAAGTTTGAATGGTAGTAAGCAGGATAGTCCTGTTTAAAGCAAGTTAAAGTTGTGAGTCATAAAATCTCAAACATAATAACTATAATTAAATATATGCATAAAAACGATAGATTGTATGGAATTACCATAAGAAAATATCTTCAACTTTAGGTAGAGAAATTTTTTTAAAGAGTTATTTAAAATTATTTACGCTATTTGAATTTTAGCATGTAGTAAATTAAAGCATTTTGGTAATAAATACTGGAAATTAGTACGAAAAATATTCTTTTTAGGCTTGGGTATGAAATAAATTTGGTTAAGTCTTATTATGTTAGCTGTGTCTTTTTTGTTTCAAGCACGCACTTTTGAAAAGATGTAGGCATAGTTTGTAAAATAATAAATTAACATATACATTGCATGTTGAGTAATTTGTAGTTGTTTGGGTTTGTTAGTTCATTTTTGTTTAGTAGAAAATCTGATAAATTTGTTGTAAATATTATGCCTTTTATTTATCTTACTATATATAAAAATCTAATGATGGTGTCGCAGTTTTCCATTGTTGTCCATGCAGTTTTATTGGCCATAAAATCACGTGGTAGGATCCAGTTTTTCCTTCATTCATTTCCATATTATTTTGGTTGTCATCAGTACAAAATTAATAAAAGTCACACAAGTATTGTCTTTCTGTAAATATTTTTGTATCCCTAATTTAAGGCTATTTTCCTGTACTGCTATTGTTACGTTTTTAATTCAAGAGTTTAAAACTAAGAGAATTGTTTTGTTTTATTATTATTATGTAATTCCACACTACATTTTAAGATAAAGTTATTTAGAAATGTAGTCTAATCTTATTAAACTAAACACTACTTAAACTTAAACTTGACACTAGTGGGCGCAGCCCACTAGTGTCAATTATATAATCCAGAATCCGAACTGATAAACCCTAATAAATGTAAGTAATTTTAATTTTCTTATGTAATTTATAAGAGTTTTCCATTCAAAGTCGATAAATTTGTACTCTCAAGTATGTTTATTTTTATTTTGAGTCACAGATTTTAATTTCTCACTTTTGCAGCATAATCCTTTTATGCGAAGACTTCGATAAGTTATATTAAGGTCTATTTCATCACTATCAGTTAGTTGGTATACCATAAATTTAGTTTTGTCAATATTTAAGTTCAAAGAACTATCAATAAACTTATCTCTGATTTTGTAAAGATCTTCATCAATTTCGCTTTTAAGATTTTTGTAATTTGTTTGATGAATATAATAGTGTTGTGTCATCTACAAGAGTTATAATTTTAGTATTTAATTTTAAAATACATAAATTGGTTTTAAAAATAAGAATTGACAGTGGTCCTAAAATTGAACCCTGAAATGTTCTTTACTTTATGACTATAACTAAAAGTATTATAGACTTTCACAAATTGTCTGAAGTTAGATAAATGGAATTTAAGAGTCTTAAAATTTACCTTGTATACCAAGAAAATTAATTTGTAAAATAATACATATTTAGTAATCAACTTAATAAAATTTTTATGATGTAAATGAAATTCTTAAACTCTATAATACTTCCATTATTTAGCTTATTAAGAAATCCGTATTGGTTTTTAGGCATGAGCAATCTAGGTGATTCAAGTAAGAAAATAATTTCTTCTATATTAGTTTCTCAAAGTTTTTAGATAAAGTTGGTAAAATGGAAATTAGTCTATTATTGTATAAATAGGTTTGATAAATTAGTCATTTTTTTTTAATGTTTGGAAATATTCCATTTATGTACAAACAAGTTAAAATAACTTCTTTTGTTTTGGAAGAATTTTTGTTTTTGCATCTATTTTTTATCTGCAAATTTATTTTTACAATTAAGACTTTCTGTTACTTTTAGAACTTAACTAGATTCAATTAATTTGCTTTTAATATATTATGATTATATTTATAAAATTTAACTAATTATTAACACAGTTCTTGAGGTAACTTTTAAAATAAAATCCTATATATTAAAAAAAACAAGCTAACATTTACATAGAATAATATTTTATTTATATTATTACAAATCATTAACCCTGACTTCATGCTAAGATAACTTGTAGAAAGCAATGTAAAAGAAGAAGAAAATTCGAACTTCTACAGCTTTGTCAATAACTTTTAATTGGCAAACAACTGAGTAAGTATCATCAGTAACGAGACATAGAATGACCTACACTTCCTTTATGTCTGCATCTTGCCACTGATGATATATTGTTTAATGATTTCACTTGTGCTCATTGCATTATTTTCTGCATTTTTGAAGCAAATGTTTTTTAGATTTGATCATTGTCTTATATTTTTATTGTTGGCTGTAAAGTTAACTATTTTGTTTTTTGTAGTTTTTTCTTGTGACTATGTTTTTAAATTTTGCTTGTTTTATTTCCAGTGTTCCTAGATTTAAATTAAATTATTATTTTTTTTCTGAAGAAATAATGTCTAAAAATCTTCAAAACAATTTTATATGAGATAGCTTCAATGAATTTTTTATTTGTTTAATATATTTTTTGTGGATTTTTCAAAGTTGAAAATTCAGTTAGAGTGTTTTCTTTTCTAGCAAAAAGTAGAAGATGTATATCTAAAAATTATTGTTATTCTAATAAACAGAGAAGGGCATAAAAATTGTTTTCAATAATATTTATAATCTCATGTCTTTGATGCTGTTTTTTCATTTACTTATTCCATTAGTCTGGTTTATACTAAGATAAATTTTTTTGAGAATAAAGAACCTATGTTGATAACGACGCAATTGATAACGACAGAAGGATTTCAGTGATGCAGCTAGATTTCAGAAAGTTCAGGTCCTTGCGACTTAGTACTTCTGAGCTTCTGGGTTCTTTTTTGTCGAAATTTAGTCTCATTTCAAAATATTGATTCCTTTTTTTAAATATTTACTGGAAAAGTAAATGTTTAATGACTAGCAAAAAAATAAAAATACAATTAGCAGCTGAATTTGCAGTAATTTGACTAAGAATTAAAACCAAAGTTTTCATATTAGTTGTCATATAAATGTCAAAATCTGGGGATATTTTCTAAAGCCAGGAATGTGATTTTTCCGCGGATTCGCTGATTTCCGTTTTTTTTTTTTTTTCTATTTTCCCCTCTAATTTCCGCCAAAAAAATTTTTTTTGAACAAGTTAAAATATTTTATGAGGATTTTAATTTTCTGCAGAGCGAAAGTATTGAACTACTCATTTCCTTCCTCTGAAGTTTAAATCATTTCCTTGGAATAAAACTGGTTGACCTTTATACATGGATGAGATTTTTTCGCTTTTGCCTCTCAAATTTCAGCCTTTTAATCAAAAACTCAGATTTTCTAAAAGTTTCGTGTTTTTTTAAAAAAAATAAATATCCCACTTTTTTGGAAAATTCAGTTGTTGAAATAATTATATAATGAATAATATTTTTAAACCCAGTGTAGCGATTCGTATTCACGCGAGCTTAAAATCCAATGTCGTGATTCGTTTTTGCAGTTGTAATATCAAACATTGATTTTCGTATTTATTTAAAAATTGGACATTGTGATTTGTATTTGCGCGATTTTAAAATTTGCAGCGTGATTCGTATTTACGTGATCTAAAAATTATTATCATGATTTGTATTTTCGCAATTTTTAAAATTCGATATAGAGTTTCATATTCACTTGATTTAAAAGCCTCATGTCGGGATTCATATTCTCTCAATTTAAAATCATGCATGTGATTCATATTCATATATTCATACAATTTTTAAATTAATCATCAGGATTTATAATCACATGGCTTACAAGTTTAATAACCGCACTTTTTTTGTCAAATTTTTCTGTGTATATATATATTCATTATTGGATTTCCTCTTTTTTACTTTCTGACTACTCTCATCCCTCTAAAGCTAATAAGTGACAATTTTTTTTTATCTGCACACACGCACATGTATATGCACACTTTACTTCGTTGGTGCAAACCCCATTATTGCGATCCTTCCATTACAAAGACCAATGCGCGAAGTCCAGTTTACTGTTCCATAGACACAATATTATATTAACAACCATTAGACTGTCCAAACTGGACTGTTCATTCCAATTTAGCAACCAAAATTTTGCTTTATTTTTTCCCAATTCCTAGAGTATCATTCCAAAAGAAGTGTTAAACAGTTTTTAACTTTTTAAACAAGCATATTTCTATGCATATCTCAAACAAGCATATTTCAAACTATCAATAGCAAAAGTCTCCAGTTAAATGATTTAAACAGTTATGTCATTTGATGTTATTACTACTACAGGGGAAACACTTGAATTGTCAATGAATAAAGAAAACTGTGGCAGGACCACCAACTCTTATTCTAGGTGGTCCTTGGCGATATCTTTGGTCAAAAAGATGTGACCTGTCAATTTATTTTATTATTGAAAATAAGTATGTAACTAATATTTGTCAGTTTTTCCCAGTGTTTGGGTGGTCAAGTCGTTGGCCGAATGTATGTGAAAAATATTTTTCGACAGTGTTTTTTTTTGGGGGGGGGGATTTGAATACATTTAATGAAGAATAATCTAAAATCGTGTTTTTTATTATACATTACTAGAAATATTTTTACTCATTTGTTAAGTTTTAAGACTTATGTTCTGAAATTCAAATGGCAAAACGAAATTTGAAGAATTGAAACTAGATCACTTTATCCTAAACCACAAGTTTTATAAGGTTGATTTTTTTTTAAAAGTTATATTAGGACAAGCCAATTAATTATTTTTTCAAACCTTTGTATTTTAAAAATTGAAAACCTTATTTTTTATTTGTTTCATTTTTGCTCATTTTTCTTTTTTTGTCACTTTTTTCTTGTACAGTTAGGCAGATAACTAGTTAAATAGAAAACTGATTCTCATTGTTAAAGATATATTTCACAACTGAGAAAAAAATTTTCTTTCAATTCTTTTATTGATTTTTCGATTAATCAGTTTTTTAATTAGTACCGCTTTTTTCAAAGAGCGTTTCACACAAATCACTAAAATCTGAAACATTTTTCTCGATTAAAGTTACAAATAGTTAAGATTTCTTTTAAATTCCCATTGATTGGGAATTATTAGTATGACTGATAATTCTGTTTTCCTTTTCAGGGTGTTAGATTCCCCGATAAAGCATTCATGTACTTAATGGAAGTGATTGGAAAGACAGTAGATAATCCGCTTGTGGAATTATACAAAACAAGATTTCCATATTACGATATAAAAGCATCAGAAGACAGAAAATCAGTCATATTTGTTCATCCTGATGGTATGGAATTTTCAGTTGAAGAACTCATTGCCATGGTGTTAAAACAGGCCCAAGACATTGCACAAAAAGCAGCTGGTAAGAAACTTTTGCTTTACTCCATTAATTAATAATTTCTAATCTTTTTTAGTTATCATGACACTCCTATTCTATTGTTCAAGTGTTTGTTTTTCTCTTTGGTGCTTAATATTCTGATAATACTTTTAAAATTTCTGAACCAATTCTTCTATTTAAATAGTAAAAGTCATAACAATAAAATGTTTTCTATTTGGCAACTGTTTTGTATATTATCTTCGAATTAGCTGTAAATATGTCCAAAATCAAACGTTTACCTTGCATAAAGCAGCACTAATTTTTTATGCTTTAATCTCGGGAGCCTAAAATACTTATTTTTTCTCTTAATTCCAACAGCCATGATGTAGACAGTGTTATTTTGAAGGGAAGGGAATCTTCCTAACTTTCCTAATTATAGAAAAATAGCTCATTTTTCATAGTTCTGACATTTTGAGAATTATCTAAAGCATTATGATCTTCCTGATTTGACCTATTTACGCACTGATTTACTTATACCAACAACTGATAAGTGATTTTTAAATGCATGCAGAGTTTTGTTTCGGAATTAGCCAGTTATTGGTGCATCGCATGGTTTGTAAGGTAACTTCTATTGTAACTTTTCAGACAAGTATGCTATTTATTAGTGGAATTAAATTATTTATCAAACTTTTCTATCTCATTATCAATATCAGTTATTGTATTTCTTCTGATAATTATTTTGCTGTCATGTTATAAATTTTAAAATACTGTCAAAATAAACTGTGGTAGGCCAGATACTCAGTATATCTGCCCTGATATCTGGGGTTAGATTAGTAACGTTGGCAAATGCAGTAAGATAGATAAAAGCTGTATCTTACTGCAACGGCCAATTTAAGAATAATTTGAGTACTTTCTAAAAATATAAATCTCTATTTCTATTTTGTAGTCACTTTATCCTGTTTTACTATAACTGTTTTCAATAGTAGAGCGCCGATTATCCGAACATAGTTCGGATAATGAAAAGTTCGGATAATTGGAAAGTTGTTTAAAATCTAGTGTAAATGATTATTTATGCATTAACTTCCCTTCGCACCTTTTGTACACTTAGAACTGGCAGTACTATCTAAAATAGCTCTGGCTGGCGTGTTTAAATTTTTTTCTTCTTTTTTTAATTTTTAAGTACTTTTAATTAAATTTTTTTAATACTTTTTTTTTGATTTTGAATTATTTTTATCATTTTTCAGTTTTATATAATTTTTTTGTCAATTACTGATGCATTCCATAGAAAAAGAAATCCAGCAAAGATCTCGTTTCAAAGAAGATGCGTTTTTTTTAGCATCCATTTATCCCTTATCATTTTTTAACAGCCATTTATCCCTTATTCTGTTTAAATAAATCAACTGAACTAGATCAACATCATTTTGACGTTCTAGCCAATTCATTACGAAATGTAATGGATTGCATGCTTCTATATGAGAAGATCCACTATCTTGAACTTGATCACCTACTTCTTTCACTTCGTCTGTAGAGTTCCGATTTTCATTCAAAATTTCAGCAACAATTTCATCATTTTCATCCGAAAGATCTACTGGTTCAAAAACTTCAGTTTGTTTTTCTGTTAAGAATTTTATTCCAAGATTTAAGATTCTAAGCACTGTAATCACTAATTATTAACCATAAGTTACAACTACTCATTCGCCAATTATAGAACTTCAGAACTTATCAGTTCATAAACTCCTTCTGCATTCCAACCATTGTAGACTATCAAAATGAAGCTTGCATTCTTGGAAGATAATTTTCAGTTGTAAAGGGCTATGTAGGTTTAACTGTATCACAATACATGTATGTATGGCTACTATAAGAAAACTGCTAAAAAGGTTGTAAATTTCATGGTCTTCAGATGTAGGGGGTATTATTTATTCTTCACAATTTATAAAAATTGTTGATAGGTTAAAAAGTATTCTAAACTTAAAAAAAAAAAAAAAAAAAAAAAGGAATTCAGACACAGTTCGGATAATAAGGGTTCGGATAATCGGCGCTCTACTGTATATAATAAATTACATTTGGTAAGGAAAAAAATTATCAAACTGTTTTGATTATTTTTTTATTGGAAAATTTTTTTCTTTCCTTTCTTCGAAGTAGTTATTTAAATAAGTTATATTTGACAGAATGTTTTAACCTTTTTATTTGTTTTTAGTTACTGAAAGTTTGTTTTAAAATTTGCTATTCATTTGTCAATTTTCTGTAATTTTAATTACAACTGTCATCTAATAATTATCACTTTTCATAAGTGTATGTTTTTTTTCTGTTTTCTTATTATGAGCAGATAATTTGAAATTACAGATTTTCTATAGAAACATTATAATGTGATATTAGTATGCATTTATTGTTCTTTTTTTTCTTCTCTCTGATGAATTCTTAGGAATAAATTTTTCATTTTCAGGTCAACCTATCAAAGATGCTGTGATAACAGTTCCACCATTCTTTAGTCAAGCTGAAAGAAGGGCCATGCTTCAAGCTGCCAAACTCTCTGGCATAAATGTCTTACAGCTTATCAACAGCAATACAGCAGGTAATTTTGTTCTTTTAGAGTGCTGGAAAAGTTTTTGTTAGTGATGGAAAAACTCATTCTCCAGTATTTTACTTTTCCTGAGCTTGCACCTCTAATAATTTTATTTTACTGTAAATTAAGGAAATTAAAACAAAAGTTTCAATTAAGCACTGCTCATTTTGGTTATGACTGCATGATTGTTTAGAACTGTTTATTAAAAACACGGGAGTTTCAGAATGACTTAAACTTTTAGAGTTTAACACATTCATTCGTTGCTGATTTTTGAACATTCCTTTTGTACCAAATAGCCTGAGTATTAGCATCCGGTTTGACCTGTCTGCCTGAATTGTACCCAACTAGATTCTCATTTTCTGAGTATGTAATTTATATCAATTTTACTACAAATGAAGTTTTATTTACAGAAACATTTCTTATAGCAAAATTGTTTGTTGACTTTACTTTAAAAGAGAATTTCATCTATCAAGCATAAAAGTACCTGTGAGTCTCTACAAATAGTGGTTTAAATGATTCAAATCTGTTTCATTGGTCTGTTTCATTCACAATGTAATTGTATACAAATTTGTCTACGATCCTAACGTAATTAGACAGGGACTAAGGTAAAAACTAGGCTTAAACTAACAGGTATACAGCAAGATTAGTGCTTAGGTAAATGAAAAATATGCATATGAATTTATGTTATTGTTATTTTAATTAAAAATTTATTGTAAACTGTTATATAAACTGTTTTACTAATATAATGATATTGTGATCTCCTGCCAACTTAAAGAAATTCTTGCTCAGTAATAAATTAACTTAGCGTTAAGAACTGGTCCCAACAATTATAAATCACAAAACTCATTTTGTAAACATAATAGTTTTAAGAAAAATGTATATCTGGTAGTATGAGTCACAAAGTAATGCATCAAAAAGTGTACTTGCATGATATTCTTGTTTAGGTTTTTGTTTTTTAATGATTTAAATTTTTTTTATATTTACTTCTTATGTGAAGATAAACAGCTTTTATATTTTGATTTTGTTTGTTTGTGTTTGTTCCATTCAATTGATTAAAAATGATTTATCTTTTTAGACTATAATTTCTTATTAGATTAAAATAAAAATGGATTTATTTAGAACATAATTTGTTGTGTTATTTGAGATCATGTAAGAATTAATGTCGTAAAAAACTAAGTATGATTTTATTTTTGTCGTAGCAATGTAAATTGCTAACTGATTCTAACTAACCCTCTAAGACTCAATATTTTTTCCGAACTTTCAGCTGTAAGCTTTCCTGCATCGAAAAACCGGTTACTCAATGGGAGAGGGAGCAAGGAAATTTTTGTTCAATTTTACCTAATGACTTAATGCTTGGATGGTTAAAGCGAAAACATAAATATTTGCCTTGTCTTGCTCAACATAACAAAAATAAACGAAATTATTTTTCGCTTCTGTGTAAGGGGCAGGGAGTTTCTTCTTGACTCAGGAACAAGGGGGACTTGTTATGTTTAAGTACCAGTTGAACTTCTTTTCCAGCTACGAAGATTAAATTTTTATAATCTTATGTTTGTCTATTTAATAGGTTGTTTATAAATTGTTACATTTTTCAAATAAAATGTGCACTTTGTTTAAGTTGTCTTTATATAAATGTTGTTTTAGTTGCCTTGAATTATGGTGTGTTTAGAAGACGAGACTTCAATGAGACACCCACTAATATAATGTTCTATGATATGGGAGCTGGAAACACAGTGGCTACCGTAGCAACCTATCAGCTAGTTAAATCAAAAGAAACTGGAGAAGTTAGTCCACAGTTAACAGTCAAAGGTGTCGGGTGAGTTTTTTACTTTTTAAAAAATCTGTCATACCATTACTATGCTTTTCATTGATTTTCCAAAAGTTTATTATAGCTTTTCGTTGGTTTATTTCATGCCATTACGATATCTAATTTATGATTTTTTCTTGGATTACGATGCACTGAAACTCCTATTGAACAATCACAAATCCTAAGCTAAAAAATTATTTCATTTTTTATTGATAAAGAAAAATTTTTTTAAAATTTTATAGGACTTTTTTATGTCTTAAGATAAATTTGCAAACATGCAAAAAATAAAAAATCCTTGCCATGTTCTTCCAATTTGCTATTCAAAAATGTTAATATCTTGTTTTTACCATGTAAATTGCACCAATGTGCTTTAATTCATAGATTTTGGTATCAGATCCTACAAATGGAATGAACTAGTCCATTCAAAATTCACTGTATTTTTGATTTTAAAAATGCACTATCTCTAGTTACAAATAGTTAAGTGTACTTGCTATCCGGTTATGATGAATTTGCTAAATTGATATCCTATTACGGTAGCTTCAATAAATTACTTAAATAAAAATGTAGAGATTTAATATTTTGCAGTTCTCATTTTGATATTATACTTTGTGGTTTTAGATTAGTAATATAGATTTTTTTGTTTTAGATTTGATCAAACTCTTGGGGGTCTTGAAATGCAATTACGATTGAGAGATTATTTAGCAAAAGAGTTCAACAAGCAAAAAAAAACCCAGACAGATGTATTTCAAAATAAGAGAGCTATGGCAAAACTTTTCAAGGAAGCTGGAAGAGTTAAAAAAGTTTTAAGTGCAAACACAGAACATATTGCTCAGGTACCTTTGCTGTTTATGACAAAAAGTTAAGGCAGTTTTTTTTTCTTCTCAAGTTTTTGTTTGTTGTGTGATCTTTTTTTAAATTGCTAATAATATATTGCTTTAAGTGCTATCCAGTTTGTTTTTTTTTCTTACACATTTTCAAATTAAAAAATTTATTATGTGTTCCTTGATATAAAATTACAGAATTTTTCCCTTGTACTTTAAATGTATTCATAATCACTTTCATAACATTTAATTGCACGATAACCGCACTTATGCTTTAAATTTAAATAAAAGTAAAAAATAATATTTTTTGAACGAGATTTTGAACAATTTTTGTTTTTATAGTTAAGTACTTATTGCTTAAAACTGTAATCGAAATATGAAAACTTTATTCAAATAAAAATAGTAATATCCACCTTGAACATGTTTTGTAGTATAAGGATTTAAAAGATTAATAAAATATTTTTTGAGAATATACATAAAAATATGTTTAGTTCAATTTCTTTTTTTTTATCATATTAGACAAAAAAATATTTAAGAACAGAATTATTTTAGTTAATTATTTTTATTAAAAAAATGCCTTACATTACGAGAATAAATTAAATTATTTTATTTGGCTACTGTGTCTGACTACTACTAATTGCTTTCTTCTTTTTTAGTATAAGCATGCTTTATTATAATTTTTTTTAGTTAAAATAGAAGTTAAACTCTAATAGGATTAAAAAAAGAAAGGAAGGAAGTACCTTTTATAGATGTACTTATGGGTGAAAAAAGGTTGCAAATTTTAAGTGACATTTTTTCCATCAACAGTGTATTTTATTCTTTTTCACTCATTTTCATGGATTAAAATGATAACACAATCATAAGTTCAACTCCGACTTTTGTGATATTTTCTTAAAAACTCTTGAATTTGTTATACAATTCGTCAAAGAGTATTCATGGAACACCTTAGTCTATCTTAGTAATATACTTATTTTTGAAAATCGTAGAATTTAAGTTATTGTGCATTTGAATATAAAAACATTATTTTGAAGGTTTATTTCTTTTCAAAATTTTACAATGGTATGCATTTTCCCATATTTTTTTTAAAACTTAAATCTTATATTGTATTATCAGTTTTATTAACACTATACTGTTTCTATATATAGCACACAATTTATTATGATTTTCTGTCTTACTGTATGTTGAAAAATAAATATTTTGTAAAAATGAATATTTGCTATTTCTTGTATAAATGTGATTGTTTAATGTCTGTTTTCAGGAGGCGTTAAACATTTTTTGTTTTTTATTGTTCACCCTTATTGTTTTTTCAAATATTCCTTCTTTCCATTTAATTAGATATTTCATATATTCTACATTTTTTATAAAATCAAGTATATATTTAGGTTGAAAGCCTACTGGACGATAAAGATTTCAAGCTTCCTATTACAAGAGTTGATTTTGAAACTTTATGCAGCGATCTCTTTGAAAGAGTTACAAAACCTGCTGAAGCAGCTTTGAAGTCTGCAAATATGGATTTAGTAAGTCATGTTTCTGCATAAATTAGTATGAAAAATAACTTTATTGTTTTAATTTTGCGTCAATGTTATCTGAATTAAATTCTATCTGTATTTATATTGCCTTTATTTTGGATTCTCATTACGATGAAAATTTAAATATTTTAGTTTGTCCTCATATCTATCTAAATAACTAAGTTTTGTCTATGAGAATTGTTAAATTTAAATAATAATTTTTTAGTTAACAACATTTCTAATTAAATAACTCCAAATAAGACATTTGGTAAATTATTCTCTTTTAAGTTTAATACACTTCATTTTACTTGCGAGGGAAAAAATTATTATCTAGGAATTTTTACAGCTGTAAAATAGTGTGGTGAATTATTTTGCTTTAAATATTTTACTTTTGAGTCTCTAGCCTATTTTTATAGTTTAATTTCAATAAAATATCTTTTAATAATAAAATATATTTAATGTTAATTTATAATATAATTTTATTTCAATAAAAATTCTAAATGTGTAAAATTTTGATTAAAAAAGTAACTGAATCTGGTAACAAAAAAAGAAATGTAAAAAAGTTTTTATAAAGGGGTGGATTGATCTATTTTTTAAAAGTCAATGCTTCAAATAAGTATAGTATAATTTGTAAATAGCAACTATGTAGTGTCTTAAACTCATAATGTTCATAGATTTGAAATCAATCGTTTATCCTAGGTTCACGTTGACCAAGTGATTTTATCGGGCTCTGGTGCGAGAGTTCCTAAAGTCCAGCAGCAGCTTACAGAATACATCCAGAAAGAAGACCTCGGAAAGAGCCTGAACACAGACGAGTCTGCAGCCCTGGGTGCCGCTTATCAGGCTGCTCATTTGAGCAAGGGCTTCAAGGTGAAATCCTTCCTGATAAAGGATGCCAACCTTTATCCCATTCAAGTAAGTCAAATAATATTGGCTAAGCTGTGCCAAATTTAAACAATATTATGTAATTTTCTTTTTTTTTGGGGGGGGGCATTATTTTAAGCAACCCTAGGCTAGAGCTTATCTCAATCATTGATCTCTTCATGCTCACAAGTTATAAACGTTTTCATAAAGAATAAAACCTGCTATTCTATTCATGTATTTTGTTTGTTAAATTTCTCTCAGAATAAACTTTATTATAAAAAATTTATTTCAAAATTTAGAAACTTAAGTTTTTTTTTAAAAATTAAAAGCTTACTCTATATCACTCCCTAATCATTTTAAAAAATTGTTGCAAAATATTTGAATAATATTTTTATGCCTCAGGAACTTTTTGCTTCACAAATCATCAATTTACAATTAAAAATAAAAGAAATATTAAATATTTTTATGAAAAAATTCGCAAGAGATTTCTGATTTCACGGGAGGGGGGGGATATAAATTGGCAAGTCTTATTGGCAAGTTATATTAAGTTTTGTTTATGAAAGTTTTGAGAATCACAGTTAAGTTTTGGCAGTATCTCCTTACTAGGCTCTTACAGGACATGGAGAACAGTGAAACCTGGAATCGTCGGGAAATTTTATTTGAACTCTCAAAATCAGGAAATAGTCGGAGAAAGTTACAATTTTTTACAAAAAACCTGGAAAATTTCTTTAATCATACCTGAAAAATAACCAGTCTTAGAATTATAAGTAACAGTAATCAGTTATTGAGATTCAGATTAAATAATTCTAACATCTATTTCAATTATTTTATAAAATTCCACTTTTTAGTGAAACTTTTCCATTTTCATTCTAATATGTTTTTACTCACAAAATCTAATATTTGATATTACAAATAACAAAAAACCAAGGTTTTCTGATGAAAAATTACATGGTATACTTAAAATATAGTATGAATTTTGATTTGATTAGATTGAAATTTACCTGATATACCTGGAAAAATCAAGGAATTTTTTTTTTCTGAAATAGAGCGAAAACCCTATTAATATAACAAATTTTTTGCCAACAGCATCTCATACATTCACTATTCAATCTTAAAAAAAAGTACTTGAGCAGCAACTTAGGTTAAAAAAAAAAATTTCTTGTATGAAACTATTAATGAAATACTTATAATGAATAGTCATGTCCCAAACTATTGTCTTCTAGAATTCATGCAAATGTATTGAATTTCTTGGTGAAAAATAAATAATTATTACTCAAGAAAAAATAAAGCACATTTGCTTATTACTTATAAAATTGAATAATTATTAATTTTTCTACAGGTAGATTTTCAAAGAGAATATGAGCTGGAGGACAAGACAACGGGCGTTAAGACTGTGAAGAGAATTCTATTTAATCGTAACAACCCCATTCCCGTAAAAAAGATCATGACATTCAATCGACATGTAAAAGATTTTGAGTTTTATGTCAACTATGGTGAATTGAATTTCTTGACTGACTTTGAATTAAAGTAAGTAATTAGTTATTATTATTATTTTATGTTTGTTCAAAGTACTCTATCGTAGCTGAGTTTACAATGTATGTTTATCTTTTTTTGAACAATTTTGTATTTTTACTTTTGTTCTGAAATTTGATTTATTTACTATTATCACTTTTTTTTAAACATTTTAAATTTTACTTGCGTCATACATCCATCAATTACAATTAAACCCAAATATCTGAAACATCAAGAGAGAAGAAAATATTCAAAATATCAAAAATTCTAGTTTTCAAAAAACCCATAAAAATGGAATAACAAAAAAATAAAAGAAAAAACTGATACACATTTTTTTAGATAGTAATCTTTTATTATTATTATTATTATTATTGAAATATGTAGAATATTCAAGAACTTATTTGCTTTAAAAAAAAAAAAGAATCCATAGTTTGCTTTAAGGAAAAGTTGCTGATCTGCCAACTCTTAGACTTTTGGTATGAGTCTCAGACATTTGTGTCCAATCTCAGGACCTCTGGTCACCGAAGTATTTTCTGAGCTGTTTTGCATGCACTTCCCATTACTCTTTCTTCCCAAACAGCGATTTTATTGTTGAGTGTATTTGGTTTATCATTGATTTCTTTTAAAAATTTAATATGTCTAGTAAATTATCCGATTTTAACAAAGTGTATACAGGTTTTTCTCCTTTATGTATGATATCTTAATTCATGCTGAAATAGCTAATTTAAGTAATATTTCAGTTGTCTTTTTCAAGTAATGAGCTGTTACTGTTTTTTTCTTGATATTCTAAAAAGTGGTGTGTTAGATAGCTGACCTTAATTTCAGTCTGAAATCTTTCTTTGAATGTCTTGCTGATTATCTTTTTGATCTTGATTTTGTAGACAACTTATGTTTACTGACTTACTCCATTTAAGACATGCAAACAAACACAAATAATGTAGAGGTAAAGAAAGTGGAGCTCATTATAAGCCAAAATAAAACCAAAATTTCAAAAATTAATCTTAAACAATTAAATGACATTTTTTTTTATAAAGAAAATAACAAGCTAGGGGAGGTAAGCAATTTTATGTATCTTGGAACTATAATTAACAACGAAGGAGAACTAATGAAGATATATTAAATAGATGAAATGAAATCTGGAGCAGTTACGCTATTCTCAATAAATGTTGGAGAAACAAAAACATAACAAATTCATCAAAGATTAGAATTTTCAATACTAATGTTAAATCTGTTCTGCTGCATGAACTCGAGACATAGTACTACAATAAAACCAACATGAAAAAACTTCAATAATTTATTAATAACAGTTTAAGAATAATCTTATGTGTCAAGTGATTTCTTAAAATTTGTTACATAGAAATCATTAGAAGAGCAAAACAGAAACCAATTGAACTGGAAATTAAACAATGAAAATTGATTATCCATGTTCTACGTAAACCTGAAAAATTTAAAGTAAACAAGTTTTTGATTAGAACGGGGCAATAGAAAAAGAGGAAGACCTAGAAATTGAAAGCAATAAGAAAGTCATGGAAAGAGGCAAAACAACTGGCCTCAAATAGAGCGAGATGGAGATGTATGATAGAAGCCCTATGCTCCGATTTGGAGTAAAGAGGGATATGTATATTAGATAGTTCTAATACAGGGAGGCGCAGTTATATATTCATGTGTTGTTTCTTTCACTACTTATTGTAATAGTCAAGGTGCTAAAAAACTTAACATTCTTTAAATCGATCAAATATACCTTTTTACAAACATTCAATCAATCACTGTCCCCCACTTCATTCCTGTAAGGTCTGATATTACCTGTTTTGATATAGCCACCCCAACCATTCTACACAAACTTGCAAAATGAAAAGCTTTAAAAAGGATTTGGTGACCAATGCGTGTGCATTGCAACTTCCGAAGAAATAAATATAAGGGGGAAAGAAACAAGAATTTTAACATTTCTCATGGGGAATTAATAGAATTTAGTTTTTATTGTGTTTTGTTAGCGGTTGTTGGTACATTTCTTTATTTTACAGTTTTCCAAGCATATTTTTAAATAGCTTTTTTATATTTTTAATTCTGTTCCCAAGATTTTTTCATTTATATTTTTAAAAAAATATTGCATTTATGAAGAGAAAATTTGAATTATCAAAGGTAGAGCAGAAAAATAATTGTCAAGACAAGATTTTTTCATTTAAAGTGAAATTTAGAAGAAAAAGAAGAAAAAAAATGTTGAGTCATTAAAACTATTGTACAGTACAGAACCCGTTATCCGGAAATCAGAAAACCGGAAAACCAAATAACCGGAACAAAATTCGATAAATTTTCCCACCATTATAAAAAAAAAATTTTTTTTTTCCTTATGAAATTTTAGGATTTTTCGTTCTTTTTTGAAAGATGTTTACCTTACCATCATTTTGGAAATAATCATTAGTGTATTGCTCCATCGTTTTTTCTTTTTAAGATTATTTCCAAAAAAAATTTTTTTAGTTGTGTTTAACAATAAAAAAAAACGGCTTTTTGTAGCGATTCAGAAAACCGGAAAAATCAGTTATCCGGAATAGCGATGGTCCCGATCGTTCCGGATAATCGGTTCCCTACTGTATTAACTTTACCTAGCACTTTTTCACTTGAATTTTGTGCCTTTTTTTCCTACTTTGAATAAATTTTAATATGTTCCTTTACCTGTACAGATCCCTTGGTTCTCTGAATATCTCTAAAGTCTCTCTGAAGGGTGTGGAAAATGCAATTTCAAAACACATGACTGAGAAGACAGAATACAAAGGTGTCAAAGCTCACTTCAAAATGGATGAAAGTGGAATATTGTATTTGGAAGAGGTCAGCTCTTTAACTCATTTAAAATTTATTTTCTTCTCAGAGTTTGAACAGTACACTTAATTTTATTTGCTTTTTTGGATTTTTTAAGTTTTCTTTACCCGAGAATGACTGATAATAAGCAAACAATATAAGTATATCATAACAAAGTAAAAATTTCTTGGCGTTCATTGTGAATAAAGCTCAAATAAAAGTACAACATATATTCCTTTGTCTAAGTTTTATTAAAGTTTTCCGTTTTCCTATTTTCTTTTGTTTTGATAAATCAAGCTTAACAGACTATCACAGTATTTAATAGTAATAGTGAAGTTTCATGTAAGGATAATGTTCAGTTTTACTATTTTAATATGTGAAGTAAACAATGAAATGATATCAACTTGAAGAAATTTATCATCTTAAACTTTATTTAATTAGGTTTTATTAATTTTATTACACAGTGGGATGCATATACAGTATTATACAATGTGGCCTTCATTATCCCTACCTTTTTTACTAAGTTCCTCTGTTAACAAAATTTGATTTGAAAATTTTTTTCTTTTTAATATACATGTTTTCTTATTAATAACCCCTCCTTTTCATAAATACACATGAGGGCGACCTTTGTACTGAAATTACAAAGTAAGGTAAAACAACGTTTAAAAGCACAACAAATATATAAATTGCATAATGCAATTTATATATTTTTTGTGCTTTTAAACGTTGTTTTACCTTACTTTGTCCTCCTTTTCATATTACTAAAATGATTCAATACTGTGAGTATTTCCCCATTTTTTTTTCATTTAATATTATTAATTATTTGCACTAAACTGCACTTAATATTATTAAGTAAAAGCAAATACCTTTAACTGGGTTGCCACTCCACAGGAAGAATAGGAAAAAACAGAGAATTTAAAAAATCACATAATAACAGAGAAAATGCAGGGAATGTAGAGGATTTTTTTATTTTTTATAATCTTATGCCACTGATAAAGGGAGACAATTGTTTACAGTGAGTTTGAAAGTTTTTTTTTTGATTTACTTACAGGTTGAGTCTGTGTTTGAGAAAACAGAAGAAGAGTCACCAGAATCTAAACTAGAATCTGCATTCAACAAGCTAGGCAGTACATTGGGCCGACTGTTCTCTGGTGGATCCACTGATGAAACAGAAGAGGAACCTAAAAAGCAGACAGAAGAAACAAAAGCAGAAGAGACCACCAACAAGACCAAGGAGGCAAATGAGGTAAGACAGAATATCAGCTATTTTTTTCCTCCTGGCATTGTTTAATATCATTTTTTATTATATTTAGTTCATTAAAACACGATTATTATAGTATGTTCAGATTTCATGCACTTGTATTGATGGTAGACATACAAAATACAATGGCCTATGGCTCTGATAAAAATATAGATTAAATTTTGAAAAAAAATTGTAGGTTTGAATCTGATTTTAACTAGGTAACATATTTTACTTTGTGTTTTCAAACTGTTCAGATTAATACAAATCCTTAGTTTTAAGTTTTATATATGAATTCAGCTATGTTTGGTCTTTAATGAAGAAAATTACTACAATGTCTGAAAATTTTAATGCATTTTGAATTTTTGTGATTACAATTTTTTCATTAATTTAAAGCATTAATCTTAAGTTATGAGACTTGACCCGTGACAAAAGGAAAAAAAAAATTAACTTATTATCAAATTTTAATAAGTGTATTAACTTAAAATCTTAACTTACAAATGAAAAAGATATCAAAGTATTTAAATGCTGACTGAATACTATCTCTCTACAGACAGAACAGTCTCAAAATATTAACAAGGAGAAAGAAAAGAATGCAACAGAATCCAAGAGCGAAGTCAAGATTGTGATTCTAAAAGAACCCGTCGAGTCCTCGGAGCAGCACCTCGATCTTCCTCCTCTGGTGAAAGAGAGCATTAAAAAATCGGTTGGCAAGTTAGTATCGTTCAGATTGATTTAATATATAAAATAATTCATTTTCCAATTGGGGCATGAATAACATGTTTTGTTTTCTGGATCGGCCAAAAAGTATGCTAATCAATGTTTTATCGAACAAAGACAAAGTGTTAACACCTTTTAAAATAAGAAAAAAAAGAAAAGCTCTCCTAAATTTTTATTTAAATTAATGTTGGAAAAATGACATTTAAAAAAATAAAAAATATTTGGAAGTTTAGACAAGAAAAACAAATTTAAAAAATACAAAATTCACAAATTTATTTTTTTTTAAAAATTAAAAACCCAAAATTAACTAATGTAAAACAATACCAATGATTAAATAACGCGATGTATTTCATACCTAATTATAAAGGGGGGAAGGAAAACTTATTAATCTAAATAAAAACAACACTTTAAAATTATAGTTAACACTAGTTGAAAAAGGCACTAGCATAAATATTAAAACCCGAGACGAGGGGAATATTATAAAATCAACGGAGTTTTAAAAAAAAACTTATTGATAAAATTTATGAATTAAAAGAATTAACTTATTGAGTAAAAAATTTATCATGAAAAGTATTTTTAAAAAAGAAAAAAAAACACCTATCTGCTTCTTAACACAATCATCTACTTCTTAACACAATCATCTGCTATTGGTAATTATAATTATTTAATAATTTTTTTTATAAAAACAGGCGATTTTTAAAGCAGATGCGATTCCATTTCAAGGAAAACTTGCAAATGATACTGCACTTCTAAAAAATCAGGATTTATTCATGAGAAAAATATTGTTTTGTTAAACGATGTCAACTATATAAATATTAACTGGTGATTAAAAAAACGTTTTGCTCCTAGTAAATAATGTATTATCCGAAATTATAAGACAATTTATCATAATAAATCTTATATTTGTAAGATATATTTTTCTTCTTATTTTATCTTCTATTCTCTGATGTGTGTGCAATGCATTTTCCCCACCCTCTCTTAAATCAGAGAGAAAACGAAGTCAGCATGTCTCTCCTTAAGTTTGACGTCAGCTTATTAGAAAAATGATTCTTTCGGACACACAGGAGAAAATAAAACATTTGTCCCTCCCCTGCCCTCTCTTGATCTAAATATCTTAAAGGTCAGGAAAGAAATGAAGTTTCTCTGGTCAAACGGGGAGAAAAATTCCCTCCTTCCTCCACGTTTTCCTGTACTCAACTTTGAGTATGAGTCAAATTTCCACCCTTTTTCATAATTGTTCTAGTTCAAAATAGCGGGAGAACCGTGCAAAATTTCCCCCTGTTTTCTGGATACCGGATAAATGGTTCTCTACTGTATTCATTATTTGAAATCTGTCATTAATGATTGTACTTAAGAAATTTTCAGGATTTTTGAGTTGGGCTCACAATCACCCCTGTTCATTATAAATAACTAATATTTTAATATGGCGTGTTTACAATTTTACCTTTGCTAATCTATGATTCGAGGTTACTTGTAGAACAGAGATATATGTGATTTTAATTTCCAGCTTTTATTTATGTATTTGCTTATTTTGTTATAGACTCAAAGATCTAGATGATCATGATCGTGCCAGATTTGCCAAAGCGAAAGCAAAAAATTCTTTGGAGTCTTTCATTGTGGAAACAAGAGATAAACTCTACAGGGATGAGTATGAGAAAGCTTCGACTGAAGAAGAGCGCAACAATATCCAGCAGAGTTTGAGCCAGGCTAGTGATTGGCTGGAATATGAGTCTGATGATGCTGATACAAGTGTAAGTGTACGCATTTCACAAAGTTACAGAAAATATCAATTTGAATATAGTAGGATAGATAGTAAAATTGAGATAGTAATTGAGAGGGTAGATAGTTAAATTGAGAACTGCCCGAAGATGTATCTTTGGGCAGTTCCTAAATGTTCTGAGTATAATACAGGTCTAAATTTTAGACTTTGATAACAACACAGGAATTAACATAAAGTTTTGTAAAAGTTTTAAAAAAAAAATTTGAATCAAAGAGCCAATTTTGGACATTCTCGCTGTTAACTAAGCAATCAATATTAGACCAAAATAATATATATTTTTTTAAGTAGTCTATAGATGATTACTTGATGATAACCTTAAAATTTGAAGCACTAAGTTAGCATAAGTATTTTATTTTGTGAAATATTTTTAGGAAATATAAACTTGTTTTGATATGCTTTAAGCATATTTATTTGAGGTGTACTGCGTACAAGGCAAGATTTTCATTACCCGTATCCAGCAAAAAAATTCACTACCCGGTCCCAGCTTTTGATCTCAAGTCCTATCAAATTTTACCAGGTTATACTCATTTTTGTTTGATGCAACCATATTCAGAATTATAGTAACTGTCAAATTATTCATTAATATAAATTTGAAAATCCTTGTATTCCATCCGTAATTTAATAGTCAAGCTGAAATTACTGTTTATATACGGCATATTTTATTTTAGTGTAGAATTTTAATTAGCAGTAGAATGGAAAAGCAGCAAAAAAGTAGTAACATAACTTTAGAAGAGAAAAATATGTTCACTAAAGGAAAGCCTCCGTTTAGTATAAAGACTTGAAAATTCAGTAATCTATAAATAAATACAAAATTAGAAATAAGGAGTTATATTGATATTTCAAGGTTATTAAATTCATAAGAATAAAATTCAAAGGTAACTTAAATAAGATAAGAAAAATGCAATATATGTGTAATAGTCTTACACTAAATTTGCTTTCGAAAAAAAATATAATAACATATTTTTATTTGGGTTTGTCTTGTACGTTAAGCATTTTATAAAAGTATAAAAGGTAACAGTTAGAAACAGAATATAAATATATTAGGGGGACCGGAAAATAATGTTTCGGTGCATTTGATATTTCTTATCAAGATTTTATTTTTAATCAGTTTATTCACCCTCGTTAGCAACAACTTTTCAATGCTAGATCTAAAATAAATTGAAATGGATTAAAAAAATATTAATTGGTTTGTAAGACTAATGAATATTTAATGCACTAAAACATTATTTTCCAATCCCCCATATATTTTCATACAAATGACACATTAATTATTCTAATGCTACTTATTCAACCATCATTAAAGATAATTTTCTCAGTAAATTAAAACACTTGTTGAAAAAAACAGTGACGATTGTTCGAACAAAAATTGGTAAGTTTTTTTATAGTTTTTTTATTAAAAGCAAAAAACCCTATTTATTTTTACATAATTTAACAAAAAACTTATTTGGAAGTATTTTATTGTAATTTCACGAAAAATTTTCATGCTTTTCACGTACATTTAATATTTAAAAAAAAAAAACAAGCATGAATAAAATTTTTAATTGGTAACTTTAAACTAAATTTTTACTGAAGTGTGTCCTTTACTCATTAGATTATTATTCATTATTTCTTACTCATTATGTGGTAAGTTAAAATCCGAAGTGAAACTTTTAGAAATACGAACTGAAACTTAAATGTTAGCGCATGCGCGCATCCATTGGATAACCTCCCCCAAATACTTCTAGATTAGTTGGCTTTTACGTACGAGATCTGGATGTAAGATGTTATGTTTGTCTGCTTGTTAATTGTATACCATTGTTGATGTTGTTTTGTTGAATAAAATATGTTATTAAATAGTGCTGGTATTATCCTGGACCTTCTAAACAGTGACTCATTAAAAGTTGAAATTCAATCCAACCTTTGCATAATTGTCTGACTTCTTGATTCCATCGCCCACTCCACAGAATAAGACATAATTTATTTTTACAAAAACTAATTTTGTCTTTTCATTGATACAGCTGGCATAATTTATTTTTGATTTTAGAATAAAATGTTACCTTTCTAATAATAAAATGCATTTAAAAGCTTTCTGACACTTCGAGTTTGGCACATTTTGTATTACTTTTTTATACAATATTCTAATCATTCAATTTTCTTCAATACTTGAGATAATTTTTAAAAAAAATCTAAACCATGACTATGAATTCGAAAGAAACGTCAGCGTGGGTAGCACCAGTCAATGGTCCGTACACAAAAGAGAATCTCCATAAGAATTACCCTGCAATAGCACTTAGTTAAAAAAAAATATATGTATGTGTAAGGAATGTTTGATAAATGTACACTAACCAATGGTATCTTATTTAAAGAAGACAAAAAACATCCTTGATTTGTAACCAATACATTTCCTATTTTTCAAAATGTGCAAAAGAAAGACAAAAATCCACTCCCCATAGGGTGACAACTTGGAGTTGAAAGACAAGCTCTGCACGCTTGCTGTTTTGTAATCTTGCTAACCAGGCCCTGCAAAATTTTAGGACTTGGTAAATCTCCAATATTTATCCATTAAGTTAATTTTTCTTATGGAAAATTTTTGTAATAAAGTACCATTTTCTTAAATCGTCCAAATTGCTTAATGTTTGCAATGCTTTTAGTTTTTCCCCCCTCCATAATTTGTTGTTAAAATTGAACTCATGTCAATAAAACAATGCAGTCATACTATCAATCTTCTAAATAAAACGATACTTTGCATAAGTAAAATAACATTAGTAGTGAATACTCAGTGCAGTTAAGGTAAAATACAAAATTTGATGTAGTTAACATTATTGTTCTTACATTTTGAGAAAGGTCCCTGTGTAAATTCATGTAAGATATAAATCAGTTTTTGTTAAAATTAAATTCTTCATATTTTTTTCTAAGATATTAAAATTCTATGAAGTTGATTGTTCAAACAAAAGTACTCTTTCAGTTCTTTGTCATACAACCTTGACGTACTCCAGTAATCCTTGAAGTACTCTTTTTTTTTCCCTCCATAAAACATAACTATGATTTTGTTACCTGATATCTGTAATATCATTTAAAATTGACCAAATAATAGGATTGCCGCTCTCTTATTGTTAAACTCTGTTTAATTCAGTTCACAAAACTTGGTTCAGTTACATTAAAGAAATTTTTCATGTAGTAATTTTCTACATGAAAAATTTCTTTAATGTAACTGAACCAAGTTTTGTTTCTAATTTTCTACAAGAAAATGCACAAATTCTCCTTCAGTTATTTAACAACTTTGTTTATCTTTCAAATAAGCACAAATATCAATATCTTGAAGTGTTTTTCAGACTTTTTTTCACATTGTATTTTTCTTCTTCCTTTTACTATTGCATCAAACACAGTACTACGAAGTACTGTTTTGAATCATTGCAATAAATCTTTCGCCATTTTCATGAACGTTTTCACCACTGGAATAAAAAATTAATCGTATGTGAAATTGCTTTTGTTAGGTTTTCAAGAGTAAATTGGAAGATTTGAAAAAGCTCACCAAGGATTTATTTGAAAGAATTAAAGAACACCATGACAGACCAGAAGCATTAAAAGCTTTCAATGAAATGCTCAACATCAGTAAAGTTTTTCTGGGCTCTGCCCGAAACATGACAGAGGAACAGCAGATATTTACTGAAGTTGAAATGAAGACTTTGGAAAGTTTAATTGATGAAACTGAGGTAAGGCTTTCAGTTCAGTCCTGTGTATTTTTTATCCATATTTTACTACATTTTTATTGACTCTTATATGTGAAGGTAGGATATTGTAATCAGAATTTTGTCCTCTTGAAGACTAACTAGAGTGCTCAAATCTCACTTGGAGCTCTGTGCTAAGTGACCCTACAAGTTTTAACTGTTACCCTAATGTCAACAAACAACATCTATTGGTATTTGAAATTCATTGTCAATCAAAATTTTTTAAAGTAATACCTAGCCTTGACGGAATGCAAATGTAGATATCATTTAGAATATTTAATACATCACATATTTTTTTAATATGGTATCAATTTTGAAATACTTACAAGAAATATGTTAATTTTACTAGTTAAATATACATGTACATATATAGTTGATATATATACTTGATGTTTTGTTCATTTGTGTTTTTCTTTTTTTCCTTCTGTTTTTGTAGGGTTTGAGGAAATTAAACTCAAATTTGGATACATTTTTTTCATTTCATATACATTTGCTAGTGTATTGTGTTTTTGAGAAGACACCATACCACGGGAGAATTTTTTTATTGCAAATTCTTTCCCCTTCACAACTAATTCAAAGTATAGAAAAAGTGAGTTCAGGTGAACATAGTGTAAGCCATAAAGTTTCCATGGCTGAAGGGGAAAAAAAAATAAATTGAAATTCAAACAAATTATTGGAAGGGGACTTCTCCATTGCTTAATCCTAAGTTATTGTCTCATAATTTATTTTTAATTTGATGTTTAGAACATTTCTTTTCAGCACTTAAAATTTTACAGCTTAATCTAGGTTTGCCTGAACTTACTTTTTCTATACTTTAAATTAGTTATGGAGATGAAAAAGAATTAGCAACAAAAAGTTTCCCCCATGGTATGGCGTAGAACTGAAAAGTTAGTATCTGTAGAATTAGCAATCCATATTTTTATTTTATTTATTTATTTTATCAGAAATGGGGTAAGGAAAATGTTGCCGAACAAAATGCTTTGCCACTGAGTCAAACTCCAAAACTGACTGTTAAGCAGATAGGAGAAAAAGTTGCCAACTTAGATCGTGAAGTGAAATATCTTTTGAACAAAGCTAGATTTGCACAGCCATTAAAGAAGAAAGAGACTAAGAACAAAACTGAGTCAGGTGGGTTTTTGTTTTTACTTCTGTCTGGTTTATATTTAAGATGTTTTATTTTCCCAACCATTTCTAGTTTTAACCCCTTTTGGTAATGAAAAATTGAAAATGAAATAACTATTTTAATTTTTTTAGAAGAACTAGTTTCTTTTATTATTCTGACATTGTTAATTTAATATTTATATGATTGTGATTGTAATTTGTTTCATTTAATAATTATTACGTATCAAAGTTCTCCCAAGGAATAGAAAAGGGCAGGGCACTCGCTTAACATGGTCAAAATTTATCATAATATGTAATATTATTTAATAACTGAATTTCATCCTCAATTTTTAAATTACACTTTTATAATATTTTATGTGTATATTTCATAAAGTAATTCTCATTTATCAAAAAAACCGAAAAAGTTGAAGCTTTTGAAAAATAATTAACATCAACCTAAAAAAATATAATCTCAGTGTATAAATTTTCTTCCAAGTAAACTGAAAAAAGGGATAAATTGATGAACAACATTAAAGCTTTTTTATTTACTTATTTATCTTTTTAACATTTTGAACTGAAAATTATGAAAAAATAAGCATTTAAAGGGGCACATTTAAATAAGGTATTAATTTAAATGGTAAAACTATACGTCACCCCTGTGACAGAATAGCAGCGACACGGAGACATTGTCGCAGAACATTAGAGTTCTTGCATACTGATTTTTCTATTAAATAGGGAAAATAATTACTTTTATTCAGAAGTTTACACATAATATATGAATCATGCCTTTAGGTAATCACTTTTTGACTCGCTCAATTTATGCCAATAGTATTGTAAATCGATGTAATGTTCCGATTGCATTTTCAGCAGTTATTTATATTGATTTTCTCATGGATTTTAAATATCTCGATACATTTGAAACAATATGGGTAATTCGAAACGCATTTGAGGAGTCTGATTAGCGTGATTTTGTTGCCGATTTTAGGCAATTACTACTATGGGTTTCATGATTTTTAATTATTTTTTTAACTGTGATTATTTACAAAATGCGAGAACGTCACCCATAATTTTAGAATAAAAAATTTTTACATGTTCAATTAAAAAAAATTTCTTTTTTTTTGTAAACAGCGCTTCTATTATTTTAAATTATTAACATATATGTTTGTTTTTATTAAAAGTATCTTGCAGAAGTGCTAGAGAGTTTTGTCGCAGATAGCTTGAAAAAATTCTGCCACAGGGAACATCACTAAAAATTCATTAATGTACCCAAATAAAAGATGTGAATATCTCTGAGGCAGAATCTCATTTGAATTTCAACACTGAAACACTGAACGAACATAAGAAAAATCATCCTAAAATGAAGGAATGAAATTATAAAATAAAGTTATATAGTTATCAATAACAAAATAAATCAGCAATGAACTTCTCATTAACACAGTTGATTAAGAAAATAATCTTTACCTGAAAAAATAATGGGATGGTGATATGGTGGCTTATTTTTACAAGAGAGGTAGGGAGGATGCATATACACTGCTCAAAAAAATTAGAGGAGCACATGGTTTTAATGAAATTATGCAAATATTTACACAGATAAGTAACAGAAAAGTAATCATTTATAATGTAAGACCGAGCAGGAAAAAGAAGAAAACTTCATATGCAAATAAAAGTACATGACGTCACAAAGCAGAAAAGAAGATAAGAGCAGAAATCGGGATGTAGCAGAGATGTCTGTTTCACTGCTGTAACTCAGAAAGTTGATTTTTCAGTTATTGTTTTTGAGAAAGGGTAACTTGAAAATGTCTCAACGTTATTTACCTGAATCCATTGCATGGCGCATCGTCAGGCTAGAATCCGGGCGAACACAACGCAGTGTGGCGGACGCTGTTGGAGTCAGCAGAAGTGTCGTTGCAAGGCTGTGGAATCGATTCCAAGAGACTGGAAATGTGAGTTGTCGGCCACGTGCAGCAACTGCAGCTGATGACCAGCATATACAGTTAACAGCTTGTCGTTACAGAACAGACAATGCTACTCAGCTGCAAAGACAGTTTCTCGTGGCAACTGGACGAAGAGTTTCCACCCAAACAATATGGAATCGGCTCCATCAGGGAGGTCTCTATACTCGTAGGCCCGTGGTCTGCATTCCATTGACCTCAAGCCACCGTGCGGCTCGCAGAAGAAGGGCTGCTGAACATCAAGATTAGGAGCAACGGGATTGGAGCCACATATTGTTAACAGGCGAGTCTCGATTCAGTCTGGAGAGTGACACCCGACGTGTTTCGGTGTGGAGGGAAGGGGGCACTCGAAATAACCTCACTTTCATTCGTGAAAGGTCACACTACAGACATGCTAGTTGGATGGTGTGGGGTTGAATAAGCATAGGTGGACGTACGGACCTGCATATCATTCGGAACGGTACTTTGACGGCCCGCAGATATGCAGACGAGATATTGAGACCTCATGTCATACCCTACGCAGCAGCCATTGGAGATTCCTTTGTTTTACAAGATGATAATGCGAGACCACATACAGCTCGTCTTGTGGAGAACAGGCTGGAAGCTGAAACAAAACAGCGTGTGGAATGGCCAGCGTGCTCTTCTGACCTGAATCCAATCAAACATGTTTGAGACGCGCTCGGGCGACGCATTGCTGCTAGACCAAGGCCTCCATTAACTCTCAGTGACTTGGAGATTGCCCTTCTTGAGGAGTGGAACTGTATTCCCCAAGCTCTCATTGATACCATCATCGCATCCATGGGAAACAGGTATGCAGCAGTCTTAGCTGTTCGAGGAGACCACACGCCTTATTAACAGTACTGCATCATTTCCAAACATTACTTTTTTATCGTTTACATGTAAACCAATTGTTGCCTTAAATTGGCTTTTTGTTTTTTCTCTCCATAGTTTCCATGAATTAATTCCATATGTTTTTACGTCTTTTTTTCTGCATCACACATTGATACGTATGCACTATCCATTTCATGCAGCTCTGTGGATGTCTCGCACAATTTTCTTACTTTCTTTGCTTGCTCCCCTAATTTTTTTGAGCAGTGTATATATGGATCAAAGGCTAGGCGGGGTGGGCCACCTTTCAAAAATTCTTGGGGAAAACACTTATGTAATGTTAATTAAAGTATATATTTAGATGTTATTGAAATTTGTTTTGATGTTTAATTCTTACATATTGTTAATGAAAATTATATTATTTATATGAATATAATTCGCCGTGTAGATTATACTCTTCTATTTTAACTTTTATGAATATATTTTGTTTTGTTTAGTATAAATCTTGTCAAGATTTAGTAGTGTTTAAATTTATGCACTTTTATTTATTTCTTATGTAGAGAAAATTATTGAAGACACAGTTAATGCAACATCAGAGAATGAAAATTCCACAAAAAGCGTAGAGGAGGATACACCAGTTTTGAGTGATCCTGATGCTGCTGAAGCTACTGTAGAAGACTCAGGAGTCGTAATGGGTAAATTTCCATAATTTTGCATTACGAGTTTACTTTCTAATTGTATAGGTTTGAGTAATATGAAGAAAAAATTCAGCTATTTAAAAAAAATCTGCTATGCATTTTTGCAACACATTGTACAAATTTTGCGACCATGTCATGTAAAAATATATCATATTTTCTAAAATTTAGAAACAAAGTTAATCTTTCATTTAATCCTTTTCTCAACAAATAAAAATCATAAGTGTGATCAGTAATCTTTTTTATTTAATAACCTTGACTCGAGATGACTCCATAAAATCTATTTTAAGAGATATATATAATTTGCAGCTCTGTGTGACTCACTCTTCGAGCTGTTTTCAATTTTTTTTTCTCTCTATTGTTTGACAATCCATTTTTCTGTAAAACTAATTGTTTTTTTTAAAAGAAGCTCCTGATTAGCAGAAGTAAAATTTATTCTTTGTTATTTATCTAAACCAGCTCTTCATTAAATCAGCTGATTTCAAACTTCAATATAATTGTTTTTCTCCATCATTATGAGAAGATGTAGAAAAATGGATAATAATTATTTTCTTCAACAATAACTGAACTTCATCAGTAAAATTCTTCAAGCACTATTTCCAATGAGCAATATATTTTATTTTGACTAGTCTTAATCCTCCTCTTCAGGATAAATATTCTATTCCTTGTTAAACTTAAATCAACAAATGACCTCATATAGTATAATAGTTATCTTCTCCCACATTATCTAATATACTTCAGATATCATTGGCATCAGACAATTTGGGTTGTGCTCTATATTAGAGATGAGATTGGCTGATTTACTAAAAAAAAGTTTTGGGATCACACTCTTGATAAAATTTTCACAAGCTTTTCTTCTTTTTAACAAATGTTTGATTCAGTTATTAAGTATAAATATTGTAGTGATTTTCTACTTCTGTTCGGTCCTTTTGCTTTGTGGGTCGCATTGTATATCTTGGCTTCAAGTAGGCCTACTTATCTCAGGCAGGCTCAGGCCTCCATAAGCCCTATAAGCAAGGTTTGAAATTTTCAAGCTTAATTTATTCAATATTTACACTGGCAATTAATTTTTTTTAATTGTTTAGTTTTAATTTAAACTATGTACAATAAATTTTTTGTGACTTTGTAAAACAGCACATGAAAGTGTGGTGACCAGAAAAAATTGAAACCTTGAGACAACCTTATTTTGAATCTTATTATTATTGGTATGAATATATTGTGATATAATATGAATGTAATGATAAATGCAAGTTTCTGTCTTTCATGATTTGGGTCACCAAAAAGTTCTTCATACTGCATCTTTTAACATTTTAAATTTTCATATTCATTTCGTACGTTCATGTACATATTTTTCATGAATGTTAAATAGTGGCGAGTAAAAATTTAAATCCGGTTTATTATCTTTAAAGTCGAAATTTCATATCCAGCTAAGTATATATATGCAAATTTGTCAATTTTTTAAAAATTTATATTAATTAGAACTTAATGTAACTGTCTCTTAAATTAAGAAGCAAATATAAATCACTTTTTTTATTTAATTTTTGATCCATTTCCAACTGTTTACTCATAATTCTTTTGGTTTGCAGAAGAAGATACAATAACACCGTCTCCTACGACGACGAAGCCAAGCGGGTTGAAGGATGACGAACACTCAGAGCTATGAAATTAGTATTTATTTAATAAATTTATTTTAGGTGGAAATTAAGCAATTGCACGCAACAACAGCTACTGATTGTGAGTGGACTGTATTTTTATAAATTGGAATAACTTGACTTTCATTTTAAAATGTTTATTGTTAATAAAATTCTTATCTGTTTATACTATTTAAGGGAATAACTTTTTTAAAACTGGACTGTTTGTACTTAATGTAAATGTTGCTTGGCAGTATTATTATAATTCATTTTAAATAAAGAAAGAAAAATAGTTAATGGTCAGATCTAAATTTCAATCTTAGAATATTTGTTTTTAAAAAGAATTTCTTTTCTAAGTTATACATATGAGTCATAAGAATTTTAAGTTCATTTAAAACATGATCAGACTTTGTTATAAATGCAATTATACTTAAGAGTTGTATCTATGTAATATATTAAGTGTTTATACTCATTTTTATTTTGAGAATTCATAATTTATTTACTTTTTTTTATATTTATTTAACAATAGAAATCAAAATGGTCCTGGTGTCTTTACATTTATTTTTTTTATTGTTCATGGAGTGTCATGTATCTGCACACATTCAGTTTGTATGACTGCTATGATTTTTATTTATTAAAGTTACGAACACAGATTTGGTTTATCTATATATTCTTAAAACTAAGATGATTTGACTTTTTTTCCATGAATAAGTAAACGAAACTATATTTTAAAACAGTATTTACATTCTTTTAAAGTTATATTAAATGTATATTTATTTCCTTTTTAAAACTGTTTGCCTATTTACAATATTCAAGAGCTTCTGGTATTGCAATGTTATCAATGAATTAATTTTCAGATATCCAACTTGTATATATATCTGTTCTGTTGTGGTAGATGAATGAAATATCTTGAGCACTTGGGACTTTTTTTTTTTGAAGAAAAAAAAAGTGTATCACAACAATGTTATTTATTGTATGTCATTCCAATAATGTACATTTAATGAATATGTGCATCATAAACATGTGTAAATAAAAGCAACAGTGAGACCAAATGCTTTGTTTTTTTTTTTGTGGGTTGCAACATACTTGGATAAATTATCACTCAAATCTAAAAGAACACTAAGGTAATTTAGTTGTAAGTATCACTATTATAATCCACAGAAGCATCGTAAGATTAAAACATGTACACAATTGACAAGCGCTAAAAAACAGCACCAGTATCATTAGTCGATTGCAATATGCTTGGATAAATTATCTCTCAAATCTGGAAGAACACTAAAATAATTTAGTTGTAAGTGTCACTATTATAATCCACAGAAGCATCATAAGATTAAAACATGTACACAATTGACAAACGCTAAACACAGCACTGGTATCATTAGTTCTGATCGACAAAGTTAAATTTCCTCCCACACATTATACAGCAAACTATCCTTCGTTTGGATACCTATGTAATTTTAAATGCATACTTAGATTTAATCACTGCTATGGTAGGTGCATTAGTTCCGCAAAGTTTTAACACCAAGGCTTTCAAGTAATAGTCAGTTGGAGAATCTGCCAATCATTGCCAGAACCTACTAAGAAAAGTAATTTCAACTCCCACATTCTCCTATTTACGGAACATGTTACGGAATTCCCAACAATAAGGACAGCAATACAAAGCCTGTTAGTTACCCCCATCGTGAGTGATAGTCCTCTTTAAAGAAGCCTCCTTCGGTTCAGATTTACACAGGTAGATTCAGCATGCAAACGTATCAATCGCTTTCTTTCCGAGTTCATTACCCTGCTCACAGGGCACGAGTATGACTATTATCTTTGTTGCTCTCTCTATATCCAGCAGGGGCTAGACTGAAAGAAAAACTTGCACCTGGTAGTACTTTTCATAATTAACATTGAGTTCAAATCTTTCATAAACTATTATAATTTATTTAAAACTAAAAAAAGAAATTCAAATTTCTATTTTTTGAGGAGCAAGTGACATCTGAAAGAGGTGTAAACAAAAGTTCCCAAATGTGAACTGAGCTATAATTTGACAGGTAACATCAGTATATTGAAATGTTTCATGTCTTCAAACCAGGGATCTTTACAGGATTTCATCAATAGCTTAATATTTTTTTATTTCTTAACACAAATGCCTATTTATTTTAATCGAAGACTCAATAGTTATACATAATAGTTGCGAAAGAATAAACAAAATGATCACTAATAATTTCAACTATTTATTTTCAAGTAGTAAGTTGCTTGGTTCAATTTATTTTGAGTCCTTTTTCTTTCTTGTAATAAAATCATTTGCGAAGCGGACTCCTTCGTAATGTTTTCTCATCTAAAAAGTTAAAAGAAAGTTTTAATCCTTTTTCTCTTCTTGCCTGTACTATAATAGTTTCTGAAATTATTCAAGCATTTGAAAAGAAATTATAATTATTTAATATTTTTAAAAAAAAGTTGGTATAAAATATTTTTGCTTTTATGTAATCAAGCATAAGATTTTTCTAAACTTTGGGCAAGCTCTTAAAATTTCTACATTATTTTGTCCCACTTTATATTTATTTTTTCTCTTTAATCATGATTTATGTATAAAACCTAACAGTTTTTTGGACTTTCAATGCACACATGAAGTAAGAAAAACTTAAAAGTATGTAAATAATTCTGATGTTTTTTTTTTTCCAGTGCAAAATAGCTTCAGACTCTTCTCTTTTTTTAAATTTATTTTTTCATGATTTGAGTTAAGTAGTACTTAGTAGATTTCTTGTGAAATTTTCAATTTAAAAAAAAATTTATTACAATCAGTATAGACCCATTTAAAATTATAAATATAAATTTGAATACCTTGCTATTCAAAAATTTTTGAGATTATTTCAATTAGTGCTATAACTAAATGTTGCTATTATATGATAATTAATTTTGAAAAATTGCTTTTTGCATTGAATCGTTTCTAAATAAGCAAGTTTCATTAATTGATGCAAAATATTTTCAACTGCATAATCAGCTCTAGAAATATTTTAACCATAAACACTAAATCAAGTTTTAAACTGCTCTTTTAAGAGCTTTAGTGAAGACTAAAGTATTTGGACTATAGTTGAGCATTAAAAAAAAATTGTTCATTAGAAAAGTTTGTTTCTATGTCTGATTTCATAACTATAATCTTTAATTAGCAAGTTTTTAATTTGCCCTTTGATCTAAGGAGATTTTTATATTAAAATACTATCGTTGATTCAAAAGTTATTACGAATAATACCTTTTTTTTCTCTTCATTTTCGTATGATATTGTACTCGGCAAATTTCTAATGCAAAATAAAAAAGCTATGTGTAAATCTATTTTAAAATGTTCTCATTTTGCCGTCTTCTGCATTAACTTTTTTTATTTTCTTATTAACTTATACCTTTTTGCCCATTTAAATGTTATTATTAAAATTAAAAGCGTATGCAATGCTGAAGTATCAAAAATTTGCTTTCAAATGTTGAAATGAGCTATCAAATTTTAAAACTAGTGTTTAAATTTTAGCAAATGTTATTGAAGAGAATGAAGAAACATTGTAAATACTATATATATTTAAATATTTTATAACTGATTTTAAGGTATTTTTATGAGTTCAAGAGTAGTATGACTACTTTCCTGCCATTCTAATATGTGTAATGAGATAGTGATTGAAAAACAGAGATTTTAAAGACTCCATATTTTAAAATGAGTGCAGAGCTAATGATAACAACAAAAATAAGAATTCAAATAGCAAATGTAATAATCACGAGTTGATTTCTTAAAAAAAATTAGTGATACGGAAATGTTGGGGTGTATTGTTACAGGAAAATTTGGGACTTATACGAAAATTTGGGACTGACGATTTTTAGCTAAATGGTTGTTGTCAAAAGTATTTGCAAGTACGGAATTTTATCCAAAGCTATAAATAGAATGAGTTGAAGTAGTCGAAATTTGACTTGTGGTTTCTCAAAGTCTAGCTATCTGCGTTTTTTTCCCCCGTTGTTTGAATGTCAAATTTGGCAAGCATTATTTCAAGAACAATTTTCCTTGTCTTCTTTTATTTTTACTAAATATTTTTTTATCTTTAAATCTATATATGCTTCTATGCAGCATTTTTTATTTTGAAATTTTTATAGCATCTTTCTTCAGTCAACTTCATAATTATTATTTTGACAGCTGATATAGCAAGGCTTGCTAGTGAAAAAGTTTGGTTGGTTCTATGCAACACTTTGTGGTTGGTGCCCTATTAAATATGATGAGTGAAAAACTGCATTTTCGGCATATTTTATTTTTTTACAATTGAAAAGATAAAATACTATTCAAGCAAGAAAAAAAAATCCGAAGTATATGGAGATACTTAGTTTACCGATGTTTATGGAAATACCTTGGTTTAATCTCAAAGCTCCACAAATGAGTTCCTCATGCAAAAAAATAGGTAGCTTCAAGTTGGCGTTTGTAATGTGCTTCTCGAACGTCAAGAAAATTATCCATATTTGAAATGCATCACTACGGCGAACGAGTATGAAAAACATTCTACAAATTTTTTTCGACGGTATTTGTGCTCGGCTCGTATTTAGAGAGCTCTTTTGGTCGATCTTTAAGGAGATGTACTATCTCATTTTGCAGTCAGAGTGCACTAAAGACTATTCCTATTAATGATTTATTTTTAGAGTTGAAAGTTAAATTAGAAAAAACTAAGCGTCTCACACAAACAAACCTCTTCTCATCTTTTACAGCTAACTAATTTTTATGATATAAACTCATGTTTGGGAAAATTGCAACACCATGAAGGACTTATGCGAGATAGCTGAAATTTTCAGGAAATGCAAAGTAGAGTATGTTATGTAAATGCTTAGAATTTCAGACTCGTAGCGCATGCTGAGCAGCACCCTCTGAACGGCTGATGGATCCGAATAAATAGACGACTGTAGCGACGCGTGTATGGTTATCGGTATCTGCTTGTGGTCAACGTTAGCTTAGTGTTACTTAGGCCTCTTCGACGAAAGAGAGCGAGTTTTCAGCAACTTACGGACTTTGAACGGGGGAGAACCATCGGCCTTCAGGAAGCTGGATTATCTTATGGTGCAGATGCCGCTCGTGTGCAGCGTAACAGCAGCACAGTGGTGCGTGTTTGGAAGCAGTGGACGAACGAGTGTCAGACAACTTGGAAATCCGGGAATGGACCCCGAAATGTCACGTCAGCTCGCGACTATAGACACCCGGTCCGCATGGCGCTGACTGACTATACGGCCCCCACTAGACAACTGGTAGCACAGTGGTCAATAGCTACAGGTGTTTCATTGTGTGCTTCATCAATTCATAGACGTCTGCTGCAGCGTGGACTGCGCGCAAGGGACTCCTTTATACAGGATCCCCCTCACGCTAAACCATCGCCGCCTGCGGCTGCAATGGGCCAACCAGCATAGGGACTGGCGTGCCGATTGGCAGCGTGTCGTGATTTCTGACGAATCCCTCTTTAATTTGTAGTACCATGATGGCCGCATTCGTGTCAGACGCTATGACGGTGAACGCCACCTTCCGGAGTGCGTTATCGAACGCCACAGTGGACGAACATCCGGAGTTATGGTCTGGGGTGCCATAGTATATCATGAACGATCTCAATTGCTACGAATTGTGGGTAATCTGAACAGCAACCGGCATATCAGTGAAGTTTTACAGCCCCAAGCTGTTCCCTTCCTTCAAGCCTTGCCATGTGCTGTATTTCAACAGGACAATGCCCGCTCTCATATTGCTAGGACTGTGCAATCCTTCCTTGCATCGCGGCAGGTACAGCTTCTTCCTTGGCCTGCGTATTCCCCGGATATATCGCTGATTGAACATGTGTGGGATTTCGCTGGTCGGCTCCTCACTCGTGCTCATCGTCCTGTTGCTTCTACAGACGAACTTTGGGTACGCATACAAACAATATGAAATGCTCTTCCTCAGACAGACATTCAAAATTTGTTTGACTCCATGCCACGTCGTGTAACAGCACTTATATCGGCGCGTGGTGGTTACACAAAATACTGATTTTGATCTCTTGTTATTGTTTGTTTGCTTTGAAATTTTAATCTT